ATGTGGAGAAAAAGGAACACTTTTACACTGTTGGTGGGAGTGTAAATTAGTCCAACCATTGTGGAAGACAGTGTGGTGATTCCTCAAAGCTTTAGAAATAGAAATTCCATTTGACCCAGAAATCCCAATACTGGGTATATACCCAAAGGACTATAAATCATTCTACTATAAGGACACATGCACACGAATGTTTATTGCAGCACTGTTTACAATAGCAAAGACCTGGAATCAACCCAAATGCTCATCGATGATAGACTGGATTGGGAAAATGTGGCACATATACACCATGAAATATTATGCAGCAATCAGAAATGATGAGTTCGTGTCGTTTGTAGGGACATGGATGAATCTGGAGAACATCATTCTCAGCAAACTGACACAAGAACAGAAAATGAAACACCGCATATTCTCACTCATAGGCGGGTGATGAAAAATGAGAACACATGGACACAGGGAGGGGCGTACTAAACACTGGGGTCTATTGGGGGGAAAAGGGGAGGGCCAGTGGAAGGGGAAGGTGGGGAGGGATAGCCTGGGGAGAAACGCCAAATGTGGGTGAAGGGGTGAAAGCAAACAGAACACACTGCCATGTGTGTACCTATGCAACTTTATTGAATGCTCTGCACATGTACCCCAAAACCTAAAATGCAATAAAAAAATAAGAAAAAAAACTCAAAAGCTAGCAGAAGACAAGAAATAACTAAGGTCAGAGCCTAACTGAAGGAGATAGAGACACAAAAATCCCTTCAAAAAAATCAATAAATCCAGGAGGTTGTTTTTTGAAAAGATCGACAAAATAGACAGACCACTAGCCAGATTAATAAAAAAGAAAAGAGAGAAGACTCAAATAGATGCAAAAAAAAAAAAAAAATAGATAAAGGGGACATCACCACCGATCCCACAGAAATACAAACTACCATTAGAGATTACTACAAACAACTCTATGCACATAAACCAGTACACCAGGAAGAAATGGTTAGATTCCTGGACACTTGTACTCTACCAAGACTAAACCAGGAGGAAGTTGAAACCTGAACAGACCAATAACAAGGGCTGAAGTAGAGGCAGCAATCAATGGCCTGCCAGCCAAAAATGTCCAGGTCCAGATGGGTTCACAGCCGAATTCTACCAGATGTACAAAGAGGAGCTGTACAACTGTAAATCCCTTCTAAAACTGTATCAAACAGTACAAAAGGAAGGAATCCTCCCTAACTCATTTTATGAGACCAACCTGATACCAAAACCAGGCAGACACTCAACTAAAAAGGAAAACTTCAAGAAAATATCCATGATGAAAATCAACACAAAAATCGTCAATAAAATACTGGAAAACCGATTGCAACAGCACATCAAAAAGCTTATCCATAATGATCAAGTAGGCTTCATCCTGGGGATGCGAGGCTGGTTCAACATACGCAAACCCATAAACGTAATCCATCACATAAACGGAACAAAAGACAAAAACCACATGATTATCTCAATACAAACAGAGAAGGCCTTTGACAAAATTCAACAGTGCTAAAAACTCTCAATAAACTAGGTATCAATGGAACATATCATAAAATGATAAAAAGCCATTTATGATAAACCTACAGCCGATATAATACAGAATGGGCAAAAGCCAGAATAATTCCCTTTGAAATCAGGCACTAGACAAGGATGCCCTCTCTCACCACTCCTATTCAATATAGAACTGGAAGTTCTAGCCAGAGCAATCAGGCAAGAAAAAGAAATAAAGCGTATTCAAATAGGAAAGGAGGAAGTCAAAGTGTCACTATTTGCAGATGACATGACTGTATATCTAGATGACCCCATCATCTCAGCCCAAAATCTTCTCAAACTGATAAGCAACTTCAGTAAAGTCTCAGGATACAAAATCAATGTGCAGAATCACAAGCATTCCTGTATACCAATATCAGACAAACAGAGAGCCAAATCAAGAGTGAACTCCCATTCACAACTGCTACAAAGGGAATAAAATACCTAGGAATACAACTAACAAAGGATGTAAAGGACCTCTTCAAGGAGAACTAGAAACCACTCCTCAACGAAATAAGAGAGAACACAAACAGATGGAGAAACATTCCATGCTCATGTTTAGGAAGAGTTAATATCATGAAAATGGTCATACTGCCCAAAGTAATCTATAGATTAACGCCATCCCCAGCAAGCTACTTATGACCCTCTTCACAGAACTTGCAAAAACACTTTCAACTTCATATGGAACCAAAAGAGAGCCCACATAGCCAAGTCAATTCTAAGCAAAAAGAATAAAGCTGGAGGCATCATGCTACCTGACTTCACACTATAGTACAAGGCTACAGTAATCAAAACAGCACAGTACTGGTACCAAAACAGAGACATAGACCAATGGAACAGAACAGAGGCCTTGGAGGCAACACCACGCATCTACAACCATCCTTTGACAAACCTGACAAAAACAAGCAATGGGGAAAGGACTCCATGTTTAATAAATGGTGTTGGGAAAACTGGCTAGTCATGTGTGGAAAGCAGAAACTGCACCCCTTCCTGACTCCTTACACTAAAATTAACTCCGGATGGATTAAAGGCTTAAACATAAGACCTAACACCATAAAAACCCTAGAATAAAACCTAGGCAAAACCATTCAGGACATAGGCATAGGCAAGGACTTCATGACTAAAACACCAAAAGCATTGTCAACAAAAGCCAAAATAGACAAATGGGATCCAATTAAACTCCAGAGCTTCTGCACAGCAAAAGAAACAATCATTAGAGTGAATCAGCAACCAACAGAATGGGAAAAAAATTTTGCATTCTTCCCATCTGACAAAGGACTTATATCCAGAATCTCCAAAGAACTAAAACAGATTTACAAGAAAAAAACAAACCCATTCAAAAGTAGGCAAAGATATGAACAGACATTTTTCAAAAGTAGACATATATGAGGCCAAGAAACATATGAAAAAAAATGCTCATCATCACTGGTCATTAGAGAAATGCAAATCAAAGCCACATTGAGATACCATCTCACATCAGTTAGAATGGCAATCATTAAAAAAATCTGGAGACAACAGATGCTAGAGAGGATGTGGAGAAACAGGAACACATCTACACAGTTGGTGGGAGTGTAAATTAGTTCAACCGTTGTGGAAGACAGTGTGGCAATTTCTCAAAGATCTAGAAACAGAAATTCCATTTGACCCAGCAATCCCATTACTGGGTATATACCCAGAGAACTATAAATCATTCTACTATAAAGACACATGCACATGTATGTTCATTGCAGCCCTGTATACAATAGCAAAGTCCTGGAACCAACCCAAATGCCCGTCAATGCTAGACTGGACAAAGACAATGTGGTACATATACACCATAGAATACTACGCAGCCATAAAAAAACGGTGAGTTTGTGTCCTTTGTAGGGACTTGGATGAATCTGGAAGCCATCATTCTCAGCAAACTGACACAAGAACAGAAAACCAAACACCACATGTTGTCACTCATAGGTGGGTGTTGAACAATGAGAACACATAGACTCAGAGAGAAGAGCATCACACACTGGGGGCAGTTGGGGGGGTTAGGGGAGGGAGGGGGGGAAGTGGGGATGGTGGGGAGGGATAACATGGGGAGAAATACTGGATGTAGTATACACCTAAAGTAAAATAAATAAATATATATAATATATGTTTTGAAATGTGTCCATTCAAGATAAAGTGCTATATAGACTTAATTTACCTCTCCAAGGTTTCCCTATGCCAGGTGCTGTGGAGCCTGCCGAGGCAGAAAAGCAAGGGCCCCGGGGACAGGAGGGCTCGCTCCCCCACGCCGCATCCCCCCTCCCCGCGGGAAGCGGGCCCTTCTCCCACACCCCGCCTCAACCCAGCCCCTGCCTCCAGTCCAGCTCCTGTCACCTCTGCTTCTTGTCTCTCTCATCCAAGTCAACGTTCCCGCGCGTAAGGATATGCTGCATCCTAGAGACGTCACCCCGGCTAGCCGCTCTGTGGAGCTTGCCGAGATGTTTCCCTCGGATGTCGTACCCACGCCGGGCGAAGGGGCTGTCATCGCGCTTGGCGACATCACCCCTGCTGCTCCTCCACCAGCGGGTGAAGAAGCCACTCGGCCCCCGGCCCTTCTGGTTCCGGGAGCCAGAGATCGTTTCCATGGCGGAGGTTATTAGAGACACCTCAGCACCATTCCACCTATCACAGCCTCAAGGGCCCAATGAGACCAAACCACTCTGGTCAGCCAACACCTCCAACCAGGAAACTCCGCTGTTTCCAAAGTCAGAGCCAGCAACAGGCGAAGCCAAGCAGCCAAAGCGCGCCAAGCAAAGCCGGTAAGCCCAACCGCGCATGCGCAACTCTGTCAGCTCCGTGACTGCGCGTGCGCACAACCGACAGATGGCCAACGGTTCTCAGCGTGCGTGTGCAAGGCCCACGTGTCAGAAACCTCGATGACAGCTTGTCACCAGTTCTGCCCTCCCGTCCCAAGTCAGTGGGAGTTGGCAGAATTTTCAGGACATTCCCTGAGGAGGAAGGCATCCTGAAGTTCCAGCTACTGTAGCGCCAGTCCTGTGTGAACATTTTTCTAAGTCATGGTCATATATAAACAAAAACACAAATCAAACTAAATTATTGCAAAATTATTGTGATTTTGGAATTGGAAGGCCTAGTTCCTCAAAAACCTAAATGGAATTACTGTATGATAATTACCATAACAGCTGTATTCACAATAACCAAAAAGGGAAAATCATCTAAATGTCCATCAACAGATGAATGAATAAACAAAGTGGCCCATGCATACAATGCAATATCCAAATATAAAAAGCAATGAAGCACTGCTGCATGCTGCAACATGAACGAGCTTTGAAAATATTATGCTGACTCGCCAGCCGAGGCAGCACGGCTCCGCGGACTTTTTTTCAAACTCTCATCAATGTGACTTCGAGGAGGAGCGGGCAGCGGCGGCGGTGACTCCAGCGGAGGAAAGCAAAGAACCTCGGGAGGAGCCAGAGGAAAGAGCGAGGGCCGCGCGGCGCGCCGAAGCCTCGGGGAGCCGCCTTCTCGCCGGCGGTAGGGGCTGCGGGGCGCCCGCCAGCCTCTGGGTCCCCTCTCCTGCCTGGCCCGCCCCGCCTGGGCCGGCAGGAGCCCCGGCACTAGGCAGCCCGCCGAGGGTCGCCGCGCCAGCCAAGGTGGGATGGGGGCCCACAGCCACCGCCAGGAGCCCGAGAGGCCACCTGCGTGCTAGAGGCAAACTTTTGTCTCCCTCGGGTTACCGCCCAGGACGATGAGCGGCTGAGATGGAGACATCTGCCTTAGCCACTTTCTCTGAGAAGCAAGAAGCCAAAAGTGGGCTCCTGGAGGCCGCTGGCTTCCCCGACCCGGGCAAAAAGGCCTCTCCTCTGGTGGTGGCTGCCCAAGGAGTGCTGCAGCACCTCTTACCACCGTTCCATGCGCCCCTACCCATTGATATTCGACACCAGGAGGGAAGGTACCATTAGGAGCTTCATTCTGTCCACGGCGTGCACGGCCCCCCCGCCCTGAGCGGCAGCCCTGTCATCTCTGACATCTCCTTGATCCGGCTTTCCCCACACCCGACTGGCCCTGGGACTCCCCCTTCAATGCCCCCCGCCCATATGTGAACCCCCACATGGAGCACTACCTCCGTTCTGTGCACAGCAGTCCCACACTCTCCATGATGTCTGCAGCCAGGGGCCTCAGCCCCGCTGACGTGGCCCAGGAGCACCTTAAGGAGAGGGGTCTGTTTGGCCTGCCTGCTCCAGGCACCACCCCCTCAGACTATTACCACCAGATGACCCTCATGGCAGGCCACCCCGCACCTTACGGGGACCTGCTGATGCAGAGCGGGGGTGCTGCCAGCGCACCCCATCTCCACGACTACCTCAACCCAGTGGACGTGTCCCGTTTCTCCAGCCCTCGGGTGACGCCCCACCTGAGCCGCAAGCGTACGCTGTCCATCTCTCCACTCTCAGACGCCAGCCTGGACCTTCAGCGGATGATCCGCACCTCACTCAACTCGCTGGTGGCCGACATCAACAATTCCCGCAGCAGCTCAGCGGCCAGCGGCTCCTTTGGGCACCTGTCGGCGGGCACCCTCAGCCCAGCCTTCACTTTCCCTCACCACATCAACCCCGTGGCTTACCAGCAGATTCTGAGCCAGCAGAGGGGTCTGGGGTCAGCCTTTGGACACACACCACCCCTGATCCAGCCCTCACCCACCTTCCTGGCTCAGCAGCCCATGGCCCTCACCTCCGTCAATGCCACACCCACCCAGCTCAGCAGCAGCAGCAACTGTCTGAGTGACAACCAGAATAAGCAGAGCAGTGAGTCGGCTGTGAGCAGCACCATCAACCCCGTCGTGCAAGCGCAGCAAGGTCAAGACCGAGCCTGAGGGCCTGCGGCCGGCCTCCCCTCTGGCACTGACGCAAGGCCAGGTGTCTGGACACGGCTCATGTGGGTGTGCCCTTCCCCTCTCCCAGGAGCAGCTGGCTGACCTCAAGGAAGACCTGGACAGGAATGACTGCAAAGCAGGAGGCTGAGGTGGTCATCTATGAGACCAACTGCCACTGGGAAGACTGCACCAAGGAGTACGACACCCAGGAGCAGCTGGTGCACCACATCAACAACGAGCACAGCCACGGGGAGAAGAAGGAGTTTGTGTGCTGCTGGCAGACCTGCACGCGGGAGCAGAAGCCCTTCAAGGCACAGTACATGCTGGTGGTGCACAAGGGGCGGCACACGGGCGAAAAGCCCCACAAGTGCACGTTCGAGGGCTGCTTGAAGGCCTACTCACGCCTGGAGAACCTGAAGACGCACCTGCGGTCCCACACTGGGGAGAAGCCATATGTGTGTGAGCACGAGGGCTGCAACAAGACCTTCTCCAACGCCTCGGACCGCGCCAAGCACCAGAACCGCATCCACTCCAACGAGAAACCCTACATCTGCAAGATCCCAGGCTGCACGAAGCGATACACAGACTCCAGCTCTCTCCTGAAGCATGTGAAAACGGTCCACGGCCCAGACACCCACGTCACCAAGAAGCGCGCAACGACGTGCACCTCGGCACACCGCTGCTCAAAGAGAACGGGGACAGTGAGGCCGGCGCCGAGCCTGGCGGCGGTGGTTCTGAGGACAGCGCCGAGGCCAGCAGCACCAGCCAGGCTGTGGAGGACTGCCTGCACGTCAGAGCCAACAAGACCGAGAGCTCCAGGCTGTGTCAGTCCAGCCCCGGGGCCCAGTCATCCTGCAGCAGCGAGCCCTCTCCCCTGGGCAGTGCCCCCAACAATGACAGTGGCGTGGAGATGTCGGGGACGGGGCCCAGGAGCCTGGGAGACCTGACGGAGCTGGATGACACACCTCCAGGGGCTGACGCCTCAGCCCTGGCTGCCCCCTCCGCCGGTGGCCTCCAGCTGCACAAACACATGACCACCATGCACCGATTTGAGCAGCTCAAGAAGGAGAAGCTCAAGTCACTCAAGGATTCCTGCTCATGGGCCGGGCCGACTCCACACACGCGGAACACCATGCTGCCTCCCCTCCCGGGAAGTGGCTCCATCCTGGAAAACTTCAGCGGCAGTGGGGGCGGCGGGCCCTCGGGCTTGCTGCCCAAACCGCGACTGTCGGAGCTGTCCGCCAGCGAGGTGACCATGCTGAGCCAGCTGCAGGAGCGCCGCGAAAGCTCCACCAGCACGGTCAGCTCGGCCTACACCGTGAGCCGCCGCTCCTCCGGCATCTCCCCCTACTTCTCCAGCCGCCGCTCCAGCGAGGCCTCGCCCTCCGCAGACTCCTACGACCCCATCTCCACCGATGCGTCGTGGCGCTCGAGCGAGGCCAGCCAGTGCAGCGGCGGCTGCGGGCTGCTCAGCCTCATGCCGGCGCAGCACTACAAGCCTGCGGGCCAAGTACGCAGCGGCCACGGGCGGCCACGGGCGGCCCCCCACCCACCCCGCTGCCGGGGCTGGAGCGCATGAGCCTGCGGACCAGGCCGGCGCTGCTGGATGCGCCAGAGCGCGCGCTGCCCCCCGGCTGCCCACGCCCGCTGGGGCCGCGGCATGGCAGCGATGGGCCGACCTATGGCCACGGCCACGCAGGAGTCGCACCCGCCTTCCCTCACGAGGCTCCGGGGGACGGCGCCAGGCGAGCCAGCGACCCTGTGCGGCGGCCCGATGCCCTGGCCCTGCCGCGGGTGCAGCGCTTCTACGGCGCCCACAACGTGAACCCCGACCCGCTGCCGCCCTGTGCGGACAGATGAGGCCTCCGCCTGCAGAGCCACCCGAGCACTGACGGCGGCCTGGCCCGCGGCACCTACTCGCCCCGGCCGCCCAGCTTCAGCGAGAACATGGTGATGGAGGCCGTGGCGGCAGGAGCCGACAGCACGGGACCGGAGGCCGACCTGGGGCTGCTGGAGGACGACCTTGTGCTGCCCGACGATGTGGTGCAGTGTATCAAGGCGCACGCCAGTGGCGCTCTGGATGAAGGTGCCCGGCAGGTGTATCCCACGGAAAGCAGTGGCTTCTCTGACAACCCCAAACTGCCCAGCCCGGGGCTGCACGGCCATCGGAGGATGGTGGCTGCGGACTCCAACATTGGCCCCTGTGCCCCTGCGCTGGGAGGATGCCAGCTGGGCTTTGGGGCACCCTCCAGCCTGAACAAAAATAGCATGCCTGTGCAGTGGAACAAGGTGAGCTCCGGCACAGTGGACGCCCTGGCCAGCCAGGTGAAGCCTTCACCCGTTCCTCAGGGCAACCTGGCGGTGGTGCAGCAGAAGCCAGCCTTTGGCCAGTACCCAGGCTACAGTCCACAAGGCCTACAGGTGAGTCCTGGGGGCCTGGACAGCACGCAGCCACACCTTCAGCTCCACAGCGGAGCCCCTTCCCAGGGCATGCCCAGGGTAAACTACATGCAGCAGCTGCGACAGCCAGCGGCAGGCAGCCAGTGTCCTGGCATGACTACCGCTATGAGCCCCCATGCCTACTATGGCCAAGCCCACCCCCAGCTGGGCCCCAGCACCATCAGTGGGGCCCTCAGCCAGTTCACCCCATCCTGCAGCAGCATGCCAGCCAAGCCAGTCCAGCTGGGACACCCACAGCAGACGGAAGTTGCACCTGACCCCACCATTATGGACAACTGCCACATGGAACTCGGGGTCCTCAATTCAGCCCTGGCTGGAGTGCCACCACCTCACCCAGTCCAGAGCTACCCACAGCAGAGCCATCACCTGGCAGCCCCCATGAGCCAGGAGGGCTACCACCAGATCCCCAGCCTTCTGCCTGCCCACCAGCCTGGCTTCATGGAGCCCCAGCCAGGCCCAATGGGAGTGGCTACAGCAGGCTTTGGCCTAGTGCAACCCCGGCCTCCGCCAGAGCCCAGCCCCGCTGGCCGCCACCGTGGGGTACATGCTGTGCAGCAGCAGCTGGTCTATGCCATGGCTGACATGCCATCCAGTCAGGAGACAGCAGAGGCTGTGCCCAAGGGAGCGATAGGCACCATGGGGTCAGCGCCTCCCCAGCCGCCTCCGCCGGACTCGGGGGGGGGGGCCCAGACCACAGCATGCTCTACTACTATGGCCAGATCCACATGTACGAACAGGATGGAGGCCTGGAGAACCTCGGGGGCTGCCAAGTCACGCGGTCCCAGCCACCACAGAGACAGGCCTTCCAGGACAACATCCAGCCCTAGCCCTTGCCCTCACCAAGGGTCAACCAAGTGTCCAGCACTGTGGACGCCCAGATCCTGGAGGCCCCCCAGATTGATTTTGATGCTATCATGGATGATGGCGATCACTTAAGTTTGTTCTCGGGTGCTCTGAGCCCCAGCCTCCTCCACAATCTCTCCCAGAACTCCTCCCAACTCACCACCCCCCAAAATTCTCTGACGCTGCCCTCCATGCCCCCACAGGCATCAGCAACATGGCTGTCGGGGACATGAGCTCCATTGTCACCAGCCTCACGGAGGAGAGCAAGTTCCTGAACATGATGACCTAGAGCCCGGAGCACCTGGAGCTGAGTGCACCCAGAGATGTCATCGCTGCCCAGAGCCTAGGAGTTCCAGCTGTTTTGTCTTTTTCCAAAAAAGTGTTAAATACGCATGAGGGGTTGTTGCCCAATGGCAGTTCAGATGACAGATGTTGTAAGAGAAGGTTTATGGGCATCCTCTCTGGTCTTCGGGATTATCACTCAGAACAATGGAAGAAGTCTCCATAGAACAGGAAAGAATGCAAAACTCATTTACACCATGCTCTCCAGCCTTTGGTGTTTATGGGACAACTCTGTTCCGGCTTCCTCATGGCTGACATTTGACTAAATAGGGATTACTCTGGCCAAAGGCTTTCCAAGGATATGCAGAAAGAGGGTAGGGAGCATTTGGGTTTGAATCTGAATGCCATACTGGATATTCTGGAAATGTAAGCTTCTTCTGCTACTTGGCAGGAAAAGGAATTCCTGGTCCCACCTGAATTCCTCTATGAAGCCTAACTCTTGAGGTCTCCAACATCCCTTGTCATAGAGGAAAAGTACAGATGATACCTGGATGATTCAGAAGTACATTCCGAGTCCAGGTTTGGTAGAGCTGGCTCTTCTACCCCATAATGCTGAGTTTGGGACTGGCAGCCCATCCAAGTGTATATGAATGAATAAAGTATTAAGTATCACCAGAAAAAGGAAAGAAAAAATGTACTCCTCGCGGCAAGCCCAGAAGCTGCCCTGGCCTTTCCAGACCGTGTTTACAGTGTTTGCATGTAGAATGTAGCCCTTCCTGAAAAGAAGACTTGTTTCTAAATACCTCAGGGCTGCTGGAGCCACTGTGGGTTACGGATCGTCGAAGGTCTTGAGGGGTGACAGTGCACTCGGGGCAGAGCCTCAGGCCTCCCTGGGGATCTCCCAGTAGGAAGACGAAGTCATGTGTATACCCAATCCTGTTTCTCCAATGCAATGGCCACCCATTTACCACGAAAATCTCCACGGCTTGACAGCAGCCCAGGCTCCCCAGCACTCACCAGCAGCCCAGTGTTCCACCAAGCCACAGCGAGCAGGCCTGGTGTCCTCCAGATTCCCTTCCTTCTGCCCCCGCAGTCACTGGGCAGAGAATGATGATGTGTGGTGGTATGGGTGGGGGTGGAAGGGGGAGGAGCTGATCCTCAGGTCATTGAATTTTCCTGGTGAGTGTGACCAAGATCCACCTGACAATGGAATTTGGAACTGGCTTCAAGAGACATCATTCCTGGACACACTGGAGGGTGAATTGGTGCATCTTCCCCACCACACACACACACACACACACACACACACACACACTCCCCAAACCTTCTCATGGGGAATGTGTGGCAACCTTGCCAAACTAGCAGCACCACTCAGCATGTGACTCTGACTGTGACCTTGGCCTCAATGAGGAACTTCTTAGGAGAGTTTGAGGACAAGGCCATCATCATCTGGCCCCCCTGCATCCCAGCGTATCAAACTGTCCAGAGACAAGGCCAACTGCAGGCGAAAGCCAGGGAACGTTGCTAAGGGTCCGTGGCTCTGCAGTGGTGTTCACTGCCTTCCCATTAGGATTTTCCTTGCTAGTCCCGACCTGTATATATTCTGTACAGAAGACATCCCTGAATATACTGTAGGTGAGTCATCCAGCCAAATTTATATCTCCAAAACATTTTTAGCTTTTTCTACATGCTATGAATTGAGGTGACATGCTCAACTTGTAAATAAGTCTTTTTGTACATTAAAAAAGTAATTTTTTCATAAAAAAAAGAAAATAGTATGCTAAGAGCAAACAAGACACAAAAGACTATGTATTGTATGATATCATTTCTATGACATGGCCAGAAGAAGCAAGTCCATAAACACAGAAAGTATATTAGCCATTGCCAGGGCTAGAGGAAGGAGGGATGGATAGAGAGTAACAGCCAGGGTACATAGTTCATATATATATACATATGTATTATATATAATATATGAATATATATTATTCATTATTATATATTTTATATTTTATGGTATATTATAAAATAATAAATTATATGTTAATAAAATATATAATATATTGTATATATTATATAATATATATATTATTGCACTTTAGGTTCTGGAGTACATGTGCAGAACATGCAGGATTGTTGCATAGGTACATACATGGCAATGTGGCTTGCTGCCTCCATCCCCATCACCTATATCTGGCATTACTCCCCATGTTTTCCCTCACCAACTCCCTACCCCCCACAGTCCCTCCCCTACCCCCCCAACACACCCCAGTGTGTGATGTTCCCCTCCCTGTATCCATGTGTTCTCATTGTTCAACATCCACCTATGAGTGAGAACACGCAGTGTTTGATTTTCTGTTCTTGTGTCAGTTTGCTGAGAATGATGGTTTCCAAGTTCATCCATGTCCCTACAAAGGATGTATTGTACATAATATATAATTAGTTTAACAATGGTGCAAAAGTAATCACATTCTACAAATTATTACAATATGGTCTATTGATGGAGAGGTGTTTCAAATGAAAAAAACTTGGAATTTCTCATAAGGTGGTGACATATATCATAGAAAATCTATGTAAAATATTTTACTAACATATGCAACTGTAGATACTTCTGCTTTTCAGATAAATAATATATTTTAAACAATTAATGCAGACAAATCAGATCACTAAGAAGTTACAAGAATGCCTAATATAGCTGAAAGGAGATTTTAAAACTTCCCAAAACTGGAAGTACATAAAGGTGATGATCCAGAGAAGTAATCAACCAAAGAGGCCAGTGCTCTACCCAGATGCATCTGATCACGGGAAGGCAGATCCATGTGGGTTGTTCTCTTTTGACAACGCAAATGGGATAAACAAAGAGAAACGGCCTGCAGGCGTCGGAGTGTGCTGTCTCCCATAGGTGAGCATTAAATTATAAATCATGTTGCACACAAGGAGATGAGCTACCGGGGTGAAGCATCAGAAGAAATTATATGGCATGTCAGTCTCAGATATTGAAGTTCTCTTTAAATGTTTAAGTCAATAGAATAGAAAAACAAGAAACCAAAATAATGCAGAAAGAAAGTATGAGCTTGTCAAGCTATTTTTGAAAAAATGGCAACGGAAAAGTCGAGTATTGAAAATGTTGTAAAACAATTTAACATACAGCATACATATTACATATTAAAATAGACTGAGCAAGAAAGAGAACTAGTAAAATGAAATGCTGATCACCATTAATGTGATCTTATAATTTATAGAAGGCAAATTAATAGAAAAAATACATTTATATATGAAGAATAGATTGAGAAGAAATAAAAAGCATTTAATTGTTTTACCAGACCATCTAAATAAGAAGGCAATATTCAAAGAATCAGTAAGTCATAAATTTTAGAAATTGAAAACAAGACATTAATCCTTTAAATGTTTAGGGTGTAATATATGATAAAAAAGGTAAATTAAGAAAACTTAGAAGAAATGATGGTTTTGGTTATCTTGAACACTGCTTAATAAACATGAGAGTGCAGTTATCTTTTTGATATGCTTATTTATTTCCTTTTGATATATACCCAGTAGTGAGATTGCTGGATCATATGATAGTTCTATTTATAATTCCTTGAGAAACCTCCATGCTGTTCTCCTTCTACAAATGGGAAATGATTGTACTAATTTACAATCCCACCAAAAGTGTAATAGGAAAGATGGAATCGAAAACCACACTTCAGTTAGCCTGAGTGTGACTCCCGTGTGGATGGCACGGTCTGCCTCGCGCTCTGTTGAAGGGCTGAACGTGGAGATACGTCATCTGTGAACCATGTGGATGGATAACGGACTACCACCCGAGTCTGGTCTCTTTGCTCTTTGAGGATTGTGCTCATTTTTGGAGACACAGAATTCTTCAGAATTCCCTCTGGAAGGAGGGAGGGAGGGATGAACAGAGTTTATTAAATAAAAAAGAGGAGAACATTCACATAAGCAAAAAAGGAGAAAGATACCATTCAGTGTTACTCATTCTTTCCAGGTTTTTCTCCTGCCTCTCAGGTTACCACTCTTCTCTGTGAGCTTTTAATATTCTGCCCACCCCCTTAATATTAGTGTTCTGGACCAGAACACTTGTCTGGCTGACTTATTTGTGCCTAGTCGATGTCAATCTCTGACGTGACTTCAGTTACCGTAGTTATGCTCAAGCCTCCCAACTCTTTTTTAGTTTTGCTTTGCCTGCTAGAACAGCTTCACCAAGGTGTCTCAAAGCTTCCTCAGATTTAATTGTCTAAAACTGAATTCAGGCCTCCCACCTTCCATACCTCCCTTCAAACAAACAAACCCAAAACCTGACATTCCTTCTGGCAGATCCACCGACTTCTCCTTTCACCTCTCATATTCAGTCAAGTCTTGTTAATTGCACCTTATAAATGTCTCTTACATATGTCTGTCTCTGTTCCCACTGTCATTGTCATGTCTTGCCAGTCTTATCCTTCTGCAGTATATTTTCCCCAGTGTAGCCAAATGATTCCTCCAGAACAGGTGATGTAAATTGTCTAATTTTCACACTGCTTAAACATTTTTACCCTTGATCCAGAGTTAGCCAAACTGTAAGGTTAAGGGCACAGTCTTTCACACAGCCAAGTCTGCCCAAGACTTCCCATGCTTTCGTAAAGAGTTAGGACCAATGACAAAGTTCAAACGAAGAGTCCACACAAGACCCTCCTCACTTCTGACACCAGCTGCAAGTTTGGGGGTTTCCAAAAACCATGTTCACATTCAGTAATCCACTAGAAAAGTTCATAGAACTCACTGAAAGCTATTAAACTTAGGGCTATGTTTCATCACAAGAACACACTACTAATTAGAACCAGCCAAAGGAAGAGCTGCCTAGGGTATAGTCCAGGAGGGTTGCAGATCTAAAGCCTCCACTGTTCTCAGGGACATCTTGCCCTCTCAGCATAAATGTAGGGCTGTATGGCACCACACACAGAGTTTTCTAGGTTCAGATATTCTGTCTGTTTTCTTAATTTTCTTTGTGGGGGTGGCCGGGCATCTGTGGCACCTCAGCCCTGTCCTCCTTGTCCTCCTTGCTCTCGTTGTCATCATGCTTGTTGGTCTTGAGATGAATTCTCTCTAGGTGGATCTCCTCGTTATCCTCTGCATTCTCCGGGTCACTCTCAGTGTCGCTACTGAGGCGGGCTCTGCCCTCCGTCCTCCTGGTCCTTGCTGTGGGCCCCTTGGTCTGACGGTGCCGGTGCACACTGGTGAAGTTGCTGGGGACAAGTGTGAGGTGGGACAGGGGTTTGTGGGGTGTCCCTTGAGCCAGGCCTTGAGCTGCCTGTGTTCCCGGCGTGGCGTTCTTGGATCATCCAAGGGTCCCCATAATGAAAATGGCCGTAGGGATAATGAGCCCATGCAGTGTGAGCTGCGAAGGTGACAGGGTGCACCCAGGATTGTCCTTGAGTTTACCCTGTGATCCTGGCAGCCGCTGAGCAGAGCCAGGGGTGGGGGTGGGGAAGAGGGAGGTGGAGAGGGAGAGAAAGAGAGAGGGATGTGTCCCAGAGGCTGGGGAAGTCAGGAGCAGCTGAGCCTGAGGACTAGAGGCCTCCCTGGTGCTTTGCAGAGCCTGATTCCACCTCTTAGAGCAGGAAGCACCCAGCCCAATCCACCACTGGGGGAGATGCTGGATTAAAAACCACAAGCTCACTCCAAGAACTGACCTTTCACTGACCATGGAGGTCTTTTTGTGTCACTCTAGCAAAGTTCCAGAAACCACATCTCTCCAGAAGAGCACCCAGGAGCTGTGGCCCCTACACATTCCCTAGGCCACCCTTGGGTCCCCACCAACAACAGCACAAGAAACCAAGTTGATCTTACACTGACTAGAGGGAAAAGCCTTTCAACTTGTGTGATAAAGCCTCAAAAGCCCCCACCTACCCCTGCAGCCCCTCCCTCTCCAAGCAGGGGTCTGGCAGGAGAGCAAGAAGGCAGCCACATCTTTCATCAGCTGCTCCAGGTTCTGAACTTCATTTGGACTTGGGGAAATGAACCCCTGGAGGAAGCACAGAGAAGCTTGGGCTAGGCAGAAAGGAGATGGGGGTGGCAAGAAAGAGGCCACCCAGGGCTGCCAGGAGCAGGGCTCAGATAGCTGGACAGGCCCATCAGCATGGAGGGCCCCAGTTCCCTTCTCACCCCCAATAGTCTCTGTCCTGTCCTGCAGGGCTCCTGCAGCTGACCAGCCACCACCTTGCCTGGTGAGAAGATAACTGGTTGAGGGAGTGCAGAAGGCCATGCTGCTGATAAAGCTGACTCCCTTGCACATGTCGAGGATCACCTCCTGGCGCCGAGGGTCTGCTGTGGAGACAGGACCTGATGACCTCCCACCCGACAGCTCCTTGAGATGTCTGCCTGCCTCTCTCAGAGGCTGGGTCATGAGCTATGCCTGTCAAGGACCAGCTGCCAGGACCAGGCTGGGGTCTCTCCCCTGGCATCCATGGCAGTCCCCACTGTGCTGTCCTCTATTGCAATGGTCTCAGGCAGTCCCTTCCCCTTGACCAAGATGCCAGCATGCTGCCCTTTTGCTCATTTTCTGCCTTGGGCCCCAGAGGATCTTCAAGCTAAGACTCCGTGGAAAGAGGACTGCTATTTTCCAGGGAGGTAGGGACCTCCAGCTTATTGATTTTCAGCTGCATCAGCTGAAGAGCAGCTGGCTTTATAAAAGAGTGGGTACCTGCAGCATAGCAGACAGGGTGGAGCGGGAGATAGGATGAAATATTTGAAAGCTTTGCTGGCCTGGCAGTTTCTTGGCTGGCTGT